ACAATCCGTTTTTCTAATTCCTTTTTTTCGTGTAATCTATCCATCACTTGTCGTATCGATCATTCGATACCTATTCCGATTTTTTTATTCGTCGCGTACAAAACCCACCAAAAATATAATCTTGTCTTTCTCAACTTTTTCAAATTTTTTTTTTTCGATTAAATTCACGAATAACAATAGTGGAACCTGGATTTTTATATCGAGTCAAAATTTGAACAGAAATTTATTTTCAACAAGAAGGGTACAAAACTCATTAAAAATCTAATTGTGTCTTTTTCAACATTCGAAAAAAATTTGTCAAATTTTTCTTTTTTTTTTTCGACTAAATTCACGAATAATAACAGTGGAACCTGGATTTTTATATCGAATCAAAATTTGAACAGAAATTTATTTTCAACGAGAAGAGTACAAAACCCATTAAAAATCTAATCGTGTCTTTTTCAATATTCGAAAAAAATTTGTCAAATTTTTCTTTTTTTTTTTTCGACTAAATTCACGAATAACAACAGTGGAACCTGGATTTTTATATCGAATCAAAATTTGAACAGGAAGTTATTTTCAACGAGAAGAGTACAAAACCCATTAAAAATCTAATCGTGTCTTTTTCAATATTCGAAAAAAATTTGTCAAATTTTTCTTTTTTTTTTTTCGACTAAATTCACGAATAACAACAGTGGAACCTGGATTTTTATATCGAATCAAAATTTGAACAGAAATTTATTTTCAACAAGAAGGGTACAAAACTCATTAAAAATCTAATTGTGTCTTTTTCAACATTCGAAAAAAATTTTTCAAATTTTTCTTTTTTTTTTTTTCGACTAAATTCACGAATAACAACAGTGGAACCTGGAATGATTTTTATATCGAATCAAAGTTTGAACAAAAATTTATTTTCAACGGAAGGAATGAACAAAACCCATAAAAAAAATATACTCGTGTCTTTCTCAACGCTCGGAAAAGAAATTTCAAATTTTTCTTCTTCTTCTTTCACGATATAACACGATAACAACAATGAAAACGGAGCCGAAGTTTGAAATATACTTTTTCTCATCCGGAGATTCAACGAACGAAAATTTGACGGTTACAAAATTCGTACAATCGCATCGAAGGAGAGCGATCGTTCAGCGAAGAAACGCGACGATAAAATTCGATCTAAAAACGACGTGTACGTAAAACCGGAGTATATACACAAGAGCTCCTTTTGCGGAGCTCCTTTTAAAACCAGTCCTCCTCTCGCTATTACACGGTTCGCTTTCACGACTCCGACAGACGTTCTCCTCGTCGGCCACGTCTCCTCGCCCCTCGCCGCCGATACAACGGCGGAATTTTATCTTTTCTAACTATTCCCCTCTCCCCTCCCCTCCCCTCTTCTAACCTATCGCGATATTTTCGCGTCTTAATAGCTATCGCGTCCAAAGGAGCAAGGGAGAAAAAGAAACGAAGACGGAGAACAGTTTCGGTCATGAGACCACTTTCAAACTGCAAATGGAATATTCGATGTCGTATATACGCGCTCGCTTGTATCCTTTGCGCCAGAATTCCCTTTTGTTTTCTTTCCTTCTTCTTTCTTTAACACGTGTGTTCCATCCATGCGCGCATGCGCGTACGATTATTCCACGATCACCTTTCATCGAAAGAAGAAATAATAAACGAAATACGCGTCGAGATTGAAATTAAACAAATTAATCCATTTCCACACTGTAAAGTAATAGACAATTTTTAGTAAAGAGACTAAAACTACGAGTATATCCCTTAATCTTTTATACCATACGAGGATGAAAACGAAGAAATTTGAGCAACGAGGCATTGAAGATCCGCACGCTCATCCACAGGCGGATGAAAGCACGATCCCTCTGAAAAGGGAAATTTGAAAGTGAATGGGAGGGGGAGGGGGGAGGGGGGCAGATGCTGCGTCGATACGCGAAATGCAACCGCGGAGAGCGGAGAAAATGGTGGATTTTATAGAAAATCGAACGAAAACGTGGCCTGCGAATCCAACGAGCAAACTATTCAATTACCGGTTTAATCACACGGAAACACAGTCTCTTTCCACGGTTGAACGGAGTGGAGACGAGGGAGGAGGGAATGTATCATCTTGGAGACGTCTCGATTATTACACCTCGCTTAATCTTTTCTTCGTTTCGAAGATAATGAAT